TCTTGGATGGAAGGATGCTCTCGGGGGTCAGTGTAGGGGGATTTGGGGTGGCCTGGAGTAGAGGGAGACCCTAAAGGGGCACTGGGGGCTCTGGGGAAGGACGGGGCTCAGGCTGGGGGGTGAGTCTGAAGCGTTCCTGTGCACAGCCCAGCCCAGTCYCACCAGTACAGAGCACCAAACCACTGCAGACAATGCCAGCATGGAGCTGGGGTCCCACTGCACCCCTAGACTGCCTTGTTGGGCTCCTGATCACTCGATGGCTGTGCTGGCCCCTGACTGAGCCCAGAACCCCCACCTGGCCTGGGATGGGGCACAAATTCCTACCCAGGAAYATGTGGGGTCTCCAGGAGGGTCCAGAGAGCCCACGAGGAGATTTAACCCGAGCTGCAGACCCCACAATCCCCGTTCTGACCATTCCAATCCCATCCACTGGATCATCAGCCGTGGGTTTGCAGCGATCGGGGCTGCCGGCTCCTCACCCCAACAATCCCCCAGGAAACCACCGAGCCGGTCCCTGCCCTCCACGGGGACACTGGCCCGGGCTGTCCCCACATCGGGAAGGCCCGAGTGACCCGGCGGCTCTCCCAGAGAGGACTTTGTCCGTCKGTCCTTCCGCCCTGAGGAGGGATGGAGGAGGGGGGACCCCGCCAGCMGCCGGGGGGACAAAGTCCAGAGTGGCAAACGGGCCACGGTCAAACCGCGGGGATTAATTCACAGAGAATTAACGGCACGGGGACATCGGGGACCTTAAAGGGACCCTGGGGAGTGACAGCCCCGCTGGGAGCCCGGAGCAGCAGCGGGAGGGARGAGGTGCTCACCCCTCCTMCTCTTCCTCCTCCTTCATCCCCTGCCCAGCAGATTTTGCAGAGAATCCTCAAATGATTTGGGTTGAAACAGAGCCTTAAAAACCCCATTCCTGCCGTGACAGCGACAATTCCCAATATCCCAGGGTGCTCCAAGCCCCGTCCAACCCGGCCTTGGACGCTTCCAGGGATGGAGCAACCCCTTCCATAAAGCAGCGCAATAACCGCTGTCCCAACGCCGCCCTGCACGGCCTCGCCCAGCGGTGCCACGGGCTTGGCACGGAGCGTGGCCACCTCCTCTGACAAATTACCCTCCCTGTGGATTTTGGCTGCGGTCCTGACCCTGATCCAGAACCTACACGAGCCATCTGCCCCCCTCGGGGCTCCCAAAACGAGCCACAGCCCTTGGGACCACGCAGGTGGCAGAGATCCAGCCCGATCCCCGAGGATGTGGGGGATTTTAGGGGCGCTGCTCATCCCCAAATTCACACCAGCAGGCTGGAAAATCTGAGAAATCCACAGAAACGCCACAAGGACGCTGTGCCTCGCGTCAGGCTCTGATAAATTTTACCCTGACTCCTGCCCGGGTGGAATTGCTGCAGCCGGAGCCGGTCTGGAATGGCTCGGAGGAGCCTCGTCAGGTGTTCAGGGCTTGTGGAAACTAGGACATCCTGACTTGCCGCTGGCTAACTCCTTTGTGAGAGCCCAGCCAAAGTTTCTCCACCTCTAAATTGGGGTGTAATGACACTTCCCCCTCTTTCATGAAGCTTCAACTCTTTCTGATCTCGCCAGGGAAATAAATCACCGCGCGGGATCATAAAAGTCATCAAACGGCAACCTGGGGTGAACCGAGCCGCAGATGGAGGGAAGGGCGCGGGCGCTCGGGGAACCAGAGGTAGGAGCTGGAGCCAGATGTCATCGGGAGCTTTTTCCCCTGTAGGGTTAATGAACCCCCCCTCCTTCCCCTCCCTGCCTGCCCTGGAATTCCAGCCATTGGCTGCCTCCCGAGGTTTAGGCTAAAAAGCCTGTAATTAGGACCCCGGCTGCCGCGGAGCCAGTGCCTGGGCAGGCAGGGGAAAAAAAAAAAGAGAGAGAGGAAAGGGAAAAAAAAAAAAAAAAAAAAAAAAAAAAGTGTTTCCCTGACTGAGCTTGGATGTTTTCCTTTCGCTTTGCGGAGTTTTCCCAGCCCAAGCTCCATTCCCTCGCGTCCTCCGGAGCAGGGCGGGACGGCGGCGGCCGGCGCGGGGCTGGAGCGGGCGGCCGAGCCCGCAGCGGCGGAGCGCGGGGCCCGGAGCGCCGGGAAAGGGCAGGTAGGTGCGGCTGGAAGGGACTGCCGGGCTCGGCTCTCCCGGCTCCGGGTGGAGATGGAGGTGCGGGAGAGGGAGATCGGGAGGCGGCGGCAGCGGGAGGGTCCCCGGTCGGGAATTGCCGCGAGGGGAAGGGGACGGGAGCGAGGGGAACGCGGAGATTTTTGGTTGTTCGGAGTTATTTTGACGGGGTGGGGGAGGAAAATATCGCTGCCCCCGCGGTCTTTGTTTTCTGGAAAATGTCCCCTGAAAGCCGGAGGTGACGCCGGTCGCACCGTGCCAGGCTCTGCCAGCCTGGCGTGGGCAGGTGCCCGGCAGGACGGGGGGCTCCGGGAAGGGGGGGCTGGTTCTGCCAGCCCTCCTCAACCTGGGATCGGGCGGGAACGGGATRTTTTGGGGTTTGGGATGGAGCCGGGCCCCTTCAGCTTGCCGGGCTGAAATCTGGTGGCCACTGGGTGGAGTGGGGGGGTCTTCATCCACCAGGAGAGGAGGGCGGGCAGATCCTCGTCCTGGTGGTCACGGGGAGAGAAGGGGTCGCAAATCTCCGTCCCGGTGGTCACGGGGAGAGCAGGGGTGGCAGATCTCCGTCACGGTGGCCACGGGGAGAGCAGGGGTCGCAGATCTCCGTCCCGGTGGCCACGGGGAGAGCAGGGGTCGCAGATTTCCGTCCCGGTGGCCACGGGGAGAGCAGGGGTGGGGGTCTCGGTCGGTACCTGCGGATGTCGGGATGGGTGAGTCAGGGCGGGTTAATGGGTTACTGCTCCCCGCCGTGCCGGGGCAGCCGGCCGTGCCCGCGGGATGGGGGAAAACACAGCGGGAAGAGCCCTTTGCAGCGCTGGCACATCCCTCAGTGGGCTCACAGGCCGCGGTGCCCGCTGGTGACACGGGGCTGCGGGGCAGAGCAGGGTGCTGAGAGCCTCCCCCATCATTTGGGGCAGCGAGAGCCACGGCTGTGCCCTGCCAGTGCCACCAAGGGCTGCTCCGCCCGCTGCCACCCCAGCTCCAAAAGGCACCGTGGGCTGCTGGGCGGGACCGGCTCCAGGTCGGGCAGGACTCGCTGCTCCGGCTCTCCTTGCCAGGCCTGGGCTTATCTCGGCCCAGAAGGCGCATCTTTACTGCTCTGCATCTTTATTGCTCCTCATCTCCATCGYGCGCACCTCCAGCGCAGCAGCTGTGTTGACGGCAGCCCAAGCACAAACAGGTTATGCCGTGGGTGAGGCCAGCGTGGAGCTGCCAGAGCTGCTTCCAGAGGATTTTTGGAGATGTTTTGTTTCCTGGGGGATCTGTGAAAGCCGAGCCGGGGCAGGGGTGCAGCTCCCTGGTTGTGCTGGGAATGGGGAGCCTGAGCTGAATTCCGAGCGGGGCCGGGGTGGCTGCGCTCCAGGTTAATGTGTGACCTTGGCAGGAGAGGAGCCCACGGCAGCTCCCACAGCCGGCTGGGGCCAGGGGCTGCTCCCAAAGCAGATCAGGATTCCCAGGAATTGCAGCTTCTCCTACCCGGGGAGCTGCAGTGGCTTTGGAGAGTGAGAGGACCCGGAGGAGCTCTGGTGGACAGGACAAGAGGCTTTCAGAGCCAAGGCAAACGCCAGCCCGTGTCACCCACCCTGCCCTGCTGGGCTGTCACACGTCCCTTCTCGGGGACTCGCTGGCAGGGACGAGGGAGGAGCAGCTCCCCAAGTGCCACCACCGTGCCACCGGGTTTGGGGCAGGCTGGGAGCATCCCCGCATCCCTCGGCGGGCCGGCAGCAGCGGGAGTGCCCCRAGGCAGCGAGGAAGGGCAGGAAGGAAGAGGGGACAGGGCCGGCAGAGGAGCAGAGGAGCCAGACCTGTTGGGGCTGCCCAGCTCTTTAGCATGGGAGGCGCGTACCTCTGTCACCGTCTGGGGCTAATTACAGGGACTTGTTTCTAGCCCAGACGGCTGCCAGGCGGCCTAATCACATCGCATCACATCCCATCGCATCAGCCCGGCCTGGGCTGGGCTCYGGCGCATCCCATCCCTGCGTATTCACAGCAGCCGCCAGCCCTGCCCCGCCCCACCGCTCTGGTGGCCCCTCGGACCGGGTCCTTGTGCCACACGGGCCCGGGGCCAGGCTGGCACCGCCAGCCCCGCTGAGCCCCCGCAGCGTCGGAGGGCTCTAATTAACAGCAAAGCCTCGGGGATTACACAAATGCAGCTTGGAGGCTTAATGAGGCCAGCGCAGCCGGGAATGGTGCCCRCGTTCCACGGGGTGGGAGAAACCGGGACAGCCTTCCCAAAGCGGGCAGAGGAGCTGGGGCTGGCACCAACCCCTCGAGGGTCCCCACTCAGCGTGCCAGGGTCTCACACCATCCTGCTCCTCCTGTTTGCTGGCTCAGAGCTGCTCCTTCATGGAGCCAGCAAGGCCAGGGCTCTTTTTGGCCTTCAAAAACATCACGGAGCTGGATTATTTCACCCTATCCCAGCACCCTACAGCCAGCCCTGCCTCCCCCCCGYGCTGCCCCGACTTCCAGACCCTAAAGGCCGGGAAAAAGCCGGCAGCCCTTTTGTTTTATCTCGCTGATTAGCCGGTGTGCAGCGTTAATCATTGACCCGGCAGCGGGGCAGGGAAACCTGAGCTGCCCTGGCTGATCCCACCCGCTGCCAGCTCCCTCTGGGTGCCACATCTCAGCACCCCGAGATGGGTGTGGGTTGGGGTTGGGGTTAGTTTTAAGGTTAGGGTTATGGTTAGGGTTAGGGGAAAGGTTAGGGTTGGCGTTATGGTTAGGGTTGGGTTTAGGGTTGAGGTTACTGGTAGGGTTAGGGTTAGGGTTAAGGTCAGGGTTGGGGTTCCTTACACGGCTCAGTAAGGGGCACATGGGTAAAATTAGGGTTATGGTTAGGGTTAGTGTTAGGTTTAGGGTTAGTGTTAGGGCTAGGGTTAGGGTTGGGGTTCCTTGCACAGCTCAGGAAAGGGCACACAATGAGCTGGGGCTGCGCTGGGTTGTTGGAGGGGTTTTGTGGGGCATTGGGGACACTGGGATGTTGCTGACTGTGGGGACACACCAATACAGTCCCAGCATAGAACCGGGAGCAGGTCCTTGTGATGGTAGAATTGTAGGACAACCCAAAGTTTGTGTACTGGAGGTTCTCCCCCTCAACCCCGAGATGGTTCTCTGCACAAAATTTTTCCCAAAGCTGTTGATCCATCCATGGTGGGAGCTGCACGTGGCCAATCCCTGGGACCATTCAGTCACAGCACCGTGACCTCCCCTGGGAGCAGCGGCTCAGCTCCATCCCATCCCATCCCATCCCATCCCATCCCATCCCATCCCATCCCATCCCATCCCATCCCATCCCATCCCATCCCATCCCATCCCATCCCATCCCATCCCATCAGGGCAGGAAGCATGGGCTGAGAGCGTCAGGCTCTGGGCTGGCATCCAGGGAACCCCAGGAGCCACCAGAGCAGCACCTCGCCTTTGTTTTGGAAAGCCAGGGCAGGAAGGAAGCGCGGTGGGAAGCGCCCGCGGGGGAGGAGGGGACAGCACCGGATGGGTTTCCACGGCGTAACCCCGAGCCGGGTGTGGGGCGTGGGCAGGGCCAGCTGGGCAGGAACGGCTGCTGGGGCAGAACAATGGCAGCCTGAGGGGAGGGAATGATTTTCCACTGAGCTGGGCTGGAGCTTGGCCTGTTCCTACTCAGGATGGGCCACCAGCCCCGGGATGGGCTGTGCCAGCAGAGCGGGGAAAGCTCCCGCTGTGGGTGAGAGAAGGGCAGGGGCTGTTTTCCAAAAGCTGTTCCAGCTTGGGCTTGGGGTCTTCCTTGCTTGGGTTCATCCCCTGGATCCCATCCGCTGAATCCCATCCCCTGGATCCCATATCCCATATCCCATATCCCATATCCCAAATCCTCAGTTTGCTGTCACCCCCGCAGAGAAAAGAACCCCCCCAAAATCCTCTGGGCTCCTGGAGTGGCTCAGCCAAAGGTGTCAAGGCCATGGTGATGTGGAGCACCACCCCAGGGTGCCTCCCTGGGACACGGAGGGACAAGCAGCCTGTCCTGCTGCCACATGGGGACAAGATCCCTGTGCCTGGGATGGATCCCATCCCCTGGCCCCATGTCTCAGCAGCTCTGTCCCTCTGTCTCCAGCTCATGTCCCTGCCCAGCCCTGCATGGCCCCAGCGGGACCAGCCTTCCCCCTGCGGCACCAGCGGCCTCCCGCCGGCCTCGTCCGACAGCGACTCCGGCTGTGCCCTGGAAGAGTACCTGGAACCCGCCGCGGACCCCGAGGTGGGCAGCACCCAGCCCCASAGCACAGCACCCCCTTTCTGGGGTTAAACACATTTTAACGCTTTAATTCCCCTAAAATCCCACCCATTCCTCGCATCCCAAGGTCCAGCCGTGCTTCGGCCCCCACTCGCCACAGCCGGGCTCTCCCTCCGACCGGACCCAGCTCCGTGCCAGGGCCCTCCTGCAGCAGCTGCCTCCTCAGGACTGCGATGTAAGAACTCCCCTTTTTGGGGTGCTGCCCCCTCTCCCCGGGCTCACCCCATCCCTGTTAACCCCCCGTGCCCCACAGGAGCGGTACTGCCCCGACCTCGCCGAGGAGGAGCGGCACCAGCTCCGAGCCTTCAGCGCCCGCCGGCGACAGGAGGCTCTGGGACAGGGGCTGGCGTGTCCCGTGCCAGGGCCCTGCCACGGYTGTCCCTGCAGGAAGGTGAGGTGTCCCCTCCAGCACCCATTCCCCGATGGGGACGTGTCCCCAAAAACCAACGTGGCCCCAAATTTTATGTCCCTGTTYCTCGCAGTGCGGCCAGAGGCTGAACAAAGGGGACCCGGGGATTTCAGCATCCCGCCTGGGGGACCAGTTCTGGCACCCGTCCTGCTTCTCCTGCCACTTCTGCCAGCAGCAGCTGGTGGATCTCATCTACTTCCAGCAGGACGGGAGGATCTATTGTGGCCGGCAYCACGCCGAGCTCTTTCGGCCTCGCTGCGCCTCCTGCGACCAGGTGGGCACTGAGCAGGGGGAAGCTTTGACCTCCCTGTGGCCGCTGAACGCCTCCAAGCTCGGCTGGGGGCTCCAAATCCATCCAAAACCTCCTTAAATTCCTTTCTGAGGCTTGCAGAGTGCCCCATGGGCCGGGGGCTCTTCCTCACTCCTCATCATCCTGCGGGCCGTGGTTTTCCAGCGGGCTGCTGAGGGTTTGTGCTCTGTTTTCCCTTTCAAGCTGATCTTCATGGAGGAGTGCATCGAGGCCGAGGGCCGGCGCTGGCACCTGGAGCACTTCTGCTGCCTGGAATGCGACGAGCCCCTGCGCGGGCAGCGCTACGTGATGAGGAGCGGCCGGCCCTGCTGCCGGGGCTGCTTCGAGAGCCTGTTTGCCGAGCCGTGCCAGGCCTGCGGGGATCCCATCGGTACGGCCGTGACCCTACTGGGGCTCCCCGGCCCCGATCCCAACCCCGATCTCAAACCGATCCCAGCTCCGACCCCGCTGGGGCTCCCCGGCCCCGATCCCGATAGTGGCCCCGATCCCGGTGGGACATCCTGGCCCCGATCCCGATCCCGACCCCGATCCCGATCCCAACCCCGATCCTAGCGGCACTCCCCAGCCCCAACCCTGCTGGGGCTCCCCAGCCCCGACCCCGG